AGACTCCAAGACCCCATCTACACTGCCATATAATGTAGTTTCATTCTGCATTTTATAGCAGTGTAGATGGGACCCAAGGCTAAAAACGTTATCACGTGAGCAACCCCCGCCACACCTTATGGTATTTCACCAGCTGACATCTGGCAATGCTTACACCCTGGTAAGGGACAGGGTCTCTGTCGGAAGTCACACGATGTCATGTGATGTCTGCTTTGGGGCTCAATCCCCTAGACGAATGGTTCTCAACTTGTGGGTCCCTAGATGTTTTGGCCTTCAACTCTCAGAAATCCTAACAGCTGGTAAACTGACTGGGATTTCTTGGAGTTGTAGGCCAAAACACCTAGGCACCCATAGGTTAAGAACCACTGCTCTATTTATTTATTTACAGTATTTGTATATCGCTTTTCTCACCCCGAGGGCGACTCTAGACGGTGCTCTAGACAGTGCATCCTAGGATGCTAAATTCTCTCTGTCTCATAAGGTCGTAAGATTACAAGAGAACAAGGTTGAATTCTCTGTGCAACCATGTAAACCCTGTGGGCCAGTCACATTCTACCAGCCTTTGAGGAACACAGTGGCAAATCTTCTTTAAATAAATCTTGCCTTGTGATAAGTTTATTTGAAGATTATATAAGAAAAAAATGTATGATAAAGCAGCCTTGGGACAGTTTTTGGCTCGATGGGAGGTTCAATAGAGTTATGGATGGTGAGTCAAGGACTGCAGGCACACACAAAGAACACAACCCAGGCAAACAGACATACAGATTCATGTGTACATATATATTTCTCCTCAATCAATCCCTTTTCATGTATACAAACAAATATGCACAGATGTACAGGAGCATTGCCTCCCAATATCATCATCATCATCATCATCATCATCATCATCATTGGAGCCTCTGGTGCTGCAATGGGTTAAACCTTTGTGCCGGCAGGACTGAAGAATCCGGGGAAAGTGTGGATAAGCTCCCTCTGTCAGCTCCGGCTCCCCATGTAGGGACATGGGAGAAGCCTCCCACAAGTATGGTAAAACAGCAAAACATCCAAGCATCCCCTGGGCAATGTCCTTGCATTCTCTCACATCAGAAGAAGTTATTATTATTATTATTATTATTATTATTATTATTATTGACACAAAAGCACAGTATGTCACAGCAAACAAGATCTATATGCTGGGTTTCGTATCACAAGATCACAAGTCGAACACTTCCCAAGCGTCTAGATGTATTTTTGAATGATGTGTGCAGATCCAAGTAAGGTGGCCTTTTGCAGTTGATAGATGGTGATTTTGTCAATGTTTATTGTTTCCAAATGCAGGCTGAGATCTTTTAGCACAGCACCCAGTGCGCCAATGACCACTGGGACCACCTGGACTGGTTTATGCAGTTCGATTTTGAGGTCTTGATAGTGGCTGAGTTTTTCCTGTTGTTTTTTCTCAATGTGGCTGTCAACTGGTATGGTGACATCAGTAATCCAGACTTTGTTCTTTTCCACAGTCATGATGTCTGGTGTGTTGTGTTCCAAAACTTTGTCAGTCTGGATTCAAAAGTCCCACAGTATTTTTGTATGTTCATTTTCTACAACCTTTGCGGGTTTATGATCCCACCAATTCTTTACTGCTGGCAGGTGGTACTTGTGACATAAGTTCCAGTGAATCATCTGGGCCACAGAGTTGTGTCTTTGTAGTCCGTCTGTGTGATTTTCTTGCAACAGCTGAGGAGATGATCCATGGTTTCATCAGCTTCCTTGCACAGTCTGCATTTTGGGTCATCCGCTGATTTTTCAATCCTTGCCTTAATTGCATTGGTTCTGATGGCTTGCTCCTGGGCTGCAAGAATCAGGCCTTCTGTCTCCTTCTTCAGGATCCCATTATTATTATTATTATTATTATTATTATTATTATTATTATTATTATTGCCTAAAAATGGGATGGGGAAATGAGAGGAGGTGGCTTTTCCTCTCATAATACTGTTTCTATATTATTGTACAAGAAGGCAGGTTGACAGAAGATTCAGGATGGACAAAAGAACATGCTTCTTCACAAAGAATATTTTAAAGATACAGAACTCCGTATCTTAAGATATTTTTAAAAAAAATAGCAGTGGACAAATGAGGGGAAAGGGGGATTGCAGTGGAAACCTATACATGTTTATTCGGTCTGTCCTGTCCAATCCTATTGTATTGAAGTGGGGCTTTCTGAATCCAAGTTATATAGGGGTTGTTTAAAAGCAAGATAGCTACATAAGCGGAAGGGGATATAAGTATTTGCTTAACAAGTAACCTCTGACCTCCTCCCCATGCCATTTTTAGTTCCTGTCAACACAAATGGAATATTTTTATCAAATTTTGCTAAAGCTATCTGGAGCAACTCTATTGCTGAGTGACATAAAAGAAAGAGTGGGTGAGAAGATGAATAAAATAGCACAAGAGCATAGTAAAGTTACTTTCTTGACTTTCCCTCCCAGAATATTCCATTGGCATACTCACTGACCATGTTGGTATGAGATTGTAATTTTCTAATCCCTAGGCAGCCTTAAAATGAACATAAATGCTTAGTATATTTCAAGTGACTTTCTTCTAACAATACTTTGCTTCCGATCAGAATGAAAATCCTATTTGCTAACAAGTCCATCTTTGGGCCCTTTTACAAAGGCACAAAAAGTGGCTTGTAACTGGCATAAATGCTGGTGCTGAGCAACAATTGTCCATAGAAGTATGCTCTAAGATGCTTCCATGGTGGGACCTCTATGGTAGAACCAACCCAACAGCTCAGGCATGCCAAGCAGATTCAGCAGGGCTGGGTATGAGCTCAGTTTTCCACTCTCCTAGTACCCCCATTTTCCCCCCAAACCTACAAAAAATCTTCCTTAGAGACTGCCTAGATTGCTCCAGCCCTCAGCTCTTACTTAGCTTCAGCAAACTGGCCTGGCTTCTGCCTTAACACCAACCTTTTAGGGTAGGCCAATCCGTTACAGCATTCCTCACTATCCCAAACACCGAGAAAGGTCCAAAGCTTGCTGCAGAATTTGGACCTTTCCCATTTTTTTTAAACCTGGAGCCAAGTCAGATTAAGTGGTTTACCCTGGGTTCAATTGCAGTAGCCTACGTGCATTCTATGGATGCTCCAGGCTAATGCAATTGCTACACAGCATTATTTAGCAGTATAGATGGGGCCTGTATGCCATCATAGTTGAACTGTATCTTCATGAAGGGAAGAAAATAATAATAATTGAGAGTCTGCTACATTTGGCACAAAGTCTGGATTTTCTTTGTAAGCCTAGTATAAACCCATGCAACAGATGGCCTTTTCACTCAACACCCAACCTAGCTCAAAAGACTTCTTCTTCTTCTTTAAAAAGCACCCAGGAGGAAAGCATTATCTCATTTACCCAGGGTTTGGGGTTTTTTGGACATCTGTCTTGCTTTAAGTTTACCATCCCTGTTTCATGCACACAAAGCCATAGGACTTTTGCTGCTTCATATAGTGACTTTGCCTACTAGTTTATTCAGACCAACAGGAAGTTGATGTCTTTTGAAATGTATTTTCTACAATTACAGAGATTCTATTTTCCAGCTCAATCCTTATGCCACATTACAGACAATGAGTTCAAAGATAGATTATATTCCAAAACTCCGTTATGGCTCTCACCTTTAGAGGCGCAACAGAGAAGATTTCTGGGAGGTACAAACTTGCCCACTTACGGAGAAATCTTAAAGAAAAAAGAAGGCACTTATATTTTGAAATCCCAGGATGAAATTACACAAAAGTTTAAAAGTATCTCCTGGTTCCAGTACATGCAACTGAAAGAATACTTCAAGAAGGATAAGGAGATAGGATTCTGCGACAAAGACAAATTTTGGGAAACTATAATCCAGAGAGACAAAAAAAATCACAAACATATATAAGCTTGCTGGAGTGGGCCACTGAAACGGAAATTATAAAGGAGTGCATGATAAAATGGGCCACAAATATAGGGAGATCCATCAGTTATAAAGAATGGGAACAACTGTGGAATAAGAAAATGAAATGTGTTTATGCGATGGAATTAAAAGAAAACCATTACAAAATGATATACAGATGGCACATGACTCCACAAAAATTGAGTAGGATGTACAAGAAAACTTCAAATAAGTGCTGGAAGTATGATACTCAGGTGGGGACATTCTACCACCTCTGGTGGACTTGTCCCACAGCTAAAAGTTACTGGAAGGAAATTCAAGAACTATCCCAGAAAATATTGAAAATCCAAATCCAAATGAAAACGGAGTATTTTCTGCTGGGTATTACCGACAATGACATAGAACTAGACCCGAACCAAGATATCCTTTTTACTTATTTCATGACAGCTGCCAGAATAGTGTATGCTAGGAAATAGAAACTGAAAGAATCTAGTTCAACAGAGGAGTGGCTACATAAAATCTGGGACTTGAAAGATAAAAAAAAAAAGTACAAGCAATAGTTAAAGCAATGGTATTCCCTGTAGTAACCTATGGATGCGAGAGCTGGACCATAAGGAAAACTGAGCGAAGGAAGATTTTGAACTGTGGTGTTGAAGGAAAATTCTGAGAGTGCCTTGGACTGCAAGAAGATCCAACCAATCCATACTGTTATAGTAAGTTGTAGCAGGATCAAGTGTGTGTTAAAGAAAAACCTTATGATGTTAATTATTATGTGCAGCTGGTAAAGTAGGTCAGCCAGCCAACTATATGGATTTTAGAATACAGTTTGTAGAGATGGAGAAGTAATATGCTGCTCTGTAGGAGATACTGTAATGCTGCTATGCTCTAACAGCAATGCTCTTTGCTATGGTGGAATAGCTATTTACTCAAGGTTTATGTTTTGCTCTCTCATTTGATTGAAGATGAAGAAGCCTTATTTTTTTCTTTCTTTTTTTACAAAATATCTAATATTTTTAATCAGAGCAAAGAAACTATTGGTTGACAGGATTAGAGAATTAGGGAAAAAATACTACCACCAAAAAAGGAGAAAGTACAATCGAAGTCCAAAAACTGACCACTTCATTATTTTTCTTTAAGAAGGTCACTCAGGAAAATAATGTTATCTGCAATAATTGTTGTGGCCTGCCGCCTGACATTGTTCTTAAACATGTATTCACCATAGTCTATCTTCCCTTCCACAAAGATCTGCGCACCCTTCTTCACATACTTATAAGCTACATCTCTCACCCCTGGCCTGAACACAGAGATTCGGTGCCACGTTGTCTTCTGTGAGATGTCACCTCCTTGGAAGACCTCACTTTCCCCTGATCGCCAAATCTCATTGGTTGCAAGGCTGAAAATTGTGACAGGATTCTTCCCTTCTGCTTGTCTCATGACAGGATCCTGTCTGACACGGCCAAGTAGCTGGATTCGGTTCAGTGATCTTTCCAGTACTAACGGTGTTGTTGACGTTGATTCAGACTCATGTCTCACAAACTGACGCATCACCTGCAGTAGTGGCCTGCGTAACATCTTGGTTATTTTTAAAGTTTTTACTTAGGTGCTTTTCTGGAAATTTGCACTGGTTATCTTGCTTTCTGCTCTGCTTAGCACTCACAGGCCCAGCACATGGTCGCAAATATAGGATGGGAAACTCAGACCCCGAAGAAGCCTTATTCTGTGTTACTTACAAGGACTATGTAAGTTTCTGCAATAAAGGGGCTGTCTGGATGCACTCTAAGTTTCCTGCCTCATTCTTAATCCCCAAAAAGTCTCTGTAAGGCAGATTTTCTAAGGAGCAGGGGTGGCTCAAATTCAGTGACCAAGCAGAGATGTTAACCTGAAACTCTCTGTTCGAAGCATCTTAAAGATCTGTACAATTACAATGCAAATAAGTAGTATGTATATTTAGGTTTTGTATAATATGCAAATCATATAGTCAGCACTAAAAGATTATAGCAACCCTGAGGGCCCCCGGTGGTGCAGTGGGTTAAAGCACTGAGCTGCTGAGCTTGTTGACCAAAAGGTCACAGGTTTGATTCCAGGGAACAGCGTGAGCTTCTGCTGTCAGCCCTAGCTTCTGCCAACCTAGCAGTTCGAAAACATGCAAATGTGAGTAGATCAATAGGTACCGCTCCGGCGGGAAGGTAACGGTGCTCCATGCAGTCATGCCGGCCACATGACCTTGGAGGTGTCTATGGACAACGCTGGCTCTTCGGCTTAGAAATGGAGATGAGCACCACACCCCAGAGTCAGACATGACTGGACTTAATTTCAGGGGACAACCTTTACCTTTAAGGGGATATACAGGGGTCTAGCTATAGGCCTCAGTGTGTGGAGAGACTTTATAGTTTAAATCCCTGCTTCTTAAACAGTGAATCCCAACCTCAAATGGGGTCCCAAAAAATTGGCAACAGTAAAAAGTTTTTAAATGCCACCTAGTGGCTATTTCAGTTATTGCATACATCTAGCAACATTGTGCAGAGCAACATTGTGCAGAGTTTACAGAAAGCTCTGCAAAAAATTACTCAGTTGTTCCCCACAAAGAGGAAAATCAGCTTGTTTAGCAAGCCTTGCAAATGCTGATTCATTTTAAGTAAATGTTTGATTTTATACCTATTTTATATATCTATATATCTGGAGTCACACAAAAAATATTTGGTAGAATGGGATCATGAATGGAAAAAGTATAAAAAGTCCTGGTCTAAGTGACTAGGCCTTGCTGGTGTATTAGAATGATCTGATGCCTGAATGACATCATGGACTTATAACGTCCACTCTTCTGTGGGCCCATGAGAATATTTTCAGATGAGAAATGCCTATGTTTACCCATCTTTACTTAGTATTCACTCATAATTAGTTTGGGCATTTTTACCGCACTGATGTCACTTTAAATTGAAATGGAATCCTTGCAATAAACTCAGTCTGAAGACAGAGTTCCAATCTAAGCCTCCAGTTAATTGCAGTCTTCTGTTTCATATCTGCAATTGCAACACTACCAACCACTGTGTGAAGAGAGGGAGAGAAAGCGAGAGATCAAAGGAGAGGGAGATCCATGGCTGGTTACAGCCAGAACACATTCCTTCATACTAAAAAACAGAGGCTCGGCATGAAATTCTAGTGAGGAAAAGAACTACTCACAATGTAAGTTACTTACTGACAAAACAAGCATGACTAAGGATTTCACAATATGGCCATTAATGTTTTCAGTGTGTTATGTAAAAGGCAAAACAATACAGTTCACCACATACACAGGATGTACTTCAGTTGCTTTTGCGCAATTACTAAACTTGTAAAATATGGTGGATGCTGCCAAAAATGAAGAAACATGATAAGCATCTGATAATAAGGGGCTAAAGAAGATGCCACTAAGATTGTTTATTTCACAACCAACCACTCCATATTTGTCATTCATAAGCCAGCCCGTGGCCTCACATTTCCTGTTGCTTCCATTTGTTTCTTCCACTTTCAGAATTCAAATCATCATCTTCTTAGAAGAGAGGAGAAAACCAGCTCTTTTACTTACACTATTCTCTTAAAATAGCATCGATATTGCAACGGTATGATATAGACCCATTGGATCTATTACACTGTCCAACACACATTTTGGTGTCTCAAATCTAAGTCCTGTTCTTGGATATATCCAGGGAGCATACCACTCCTCTGTTATGTCAGCTCCATTGGCTGCTGATCCAGTTCCGAGCACAATTCAAAGTGCTGGTTTTGACCTATAAAACCCTATACGGCTCTGGCCCAGTGTACCTGTTCGAAGGTATCTCCTTCTATGTCCCACCTCGGAGTTTAAGATCTTCGGGGGAGGCCCTGCTCTCGGCCCCACGTCTATCACAAGTGAGGCTGGTGAGGACAAGGGACAGGGCCTTCTCGGTGGTGGCCCCTCGCCTGTGGAATTCACTGCCCGGGGAAATTATGTCATCAACATCCCTCCTCTCCTTCAGAAGGAAGCTGAAAACATGGATATGGGACCAGGCCTTTGGGTAATCTGGCAGACTGACAAGATAATGATGACCAGAAATTGGAAAGGACTATGGTAATGCTGAATGGACTTACGGATATCAAAACTTGGTGAACGTTGGCCACTAGATTGGCTTTTAATTGTTATTGTTTTAATTGATTGTTTTAACTACTGTGGTTATTGCTGTTATGTAATTTATCTGTTGAATTGTTGGCATCGAATTGTGCCAGTTGTAAGCCGCCCTGAGTCCCCACTCGGGTTTTGAGAAGGGCGGGGTAGAAGTGCCCGAAATAAATAAATAAAAAATATATATTTCACCTGCTGATTCAAAAAATGACACTAGTTTTTCCCTATCATATCTAGTCTGTGAGATACAAAACACGTGACATATACTAGGCTTCATCTGCTTGCCCAAAGTAAATCATGATAATCATATCTAAGATCCTAGAGCTGATGTGATCTATCCAATGCAATTTTCTGTGCTCCAGATAACCCCAGGAACAGGCCTAAAAACAAGACATAAAGATATATATATTTTTGGTTGGGCTGTGTTGAATGGTGAGTCAGCATATATTCTATTTTCAGTTAATCTGCTCTAGTTGGAGCATCTTCAGGATTTTTGCCAAATTGTACATTTATTTTTCAAGGCAATTGCCCTCAAATTCTTCCCTTTTTCCTTGAGGATTGGAAGTTTGCTGCAGTGTCAAAGGCTACACTACACAGTCTGTGGTCCAATAAACTCCAAAAAACTGAATGAATCCCAGCTCCAGCATATATCCAGTATTTATCTTGCTGTCCCATTATCACCTATTACAACAATTCATTCTATTTCCATTTCTTGCTTTTTCAGAAAGTGGGGAAGAGAAGTATCACCTCTGACAGGACAGTGCTGTTGTCCTGGAACATTTTCATACCCCTCAACCACCTCCCCCCCCCGAAATTCTCATGGTAGTCCACGAGAAGGCCTTACTGGTACATTATTTAAACTGTTATGTTTATTCATATCATGATCTGATCACCATGCTCAATATATCCCATATGCATGGGGGTATTGGGGTAACGATACAAAAGGTTTGCTAGGGCAGACCCTCTTTCACTCAGACTCAGCCCCCCCCCCCCCCCCGAATCAAAATCCTGGCTACGGGCCTGCCCTCAACATATGTGTTCAAAATGGCAAAAGTATTAATGAGATAAAACAACCAAGATAGAAAAGTTTATCGGAGTTTGCTTTTGCCTCAGTTTACAGAGAAGGGCAAGAAGAGTCGAATCTCATGGAACTAGAATGTTTACCAGCTGAGAAGTCATGTGTTGGAGAAGCACCAGGTTTTGTAATCTAACACGGAGTGTCTCTATATTGTCACTGTTGTATCTTCACTCTCCCTAAGAGCTCGTTCTCTTACAAACTCATCACAAGCAGGGAGAGAAGCATCTTCTCCTTGCTTCTCTCCTGCTGGTGTGGAATCTCCCAGAGCCTATTACATAACACAGGGCTACTTCTGGCATGACTCTATGGGGCTCCATGCCAGCAGCGTTGTTGCAGTAGAATCCAGAGGAGTTGGGTGTACACCAGGCTCCTCATAGAAAAAAGGCAGAGGAGCCGAAGATGAAGTGGGGGACAGCAGGGAAACATTGTGGGAAGCAATTCCATAGACCCTAACAGTAGGGGACCTAGCAAGATGGTTCACTTCACACAATTGAGACTCGTGCACCAACTGTGACCGTACCTCGTGAAGGCGGATCTGGCCAGGGTGGTCCACGCCTTAGTCACTTCCAGATTGGACTACTGTAATGCACTCTACGTGGGGCTGCCCTTGAAAACAGCCCGGAGATTTGAATTGGTCCAACGGGCAGCGGCCAGGTTGTTAATTGGTGCTCCTTACAGAGAGAGGTCAACCCTCCTGTTGCTCCACTGGCTGCCATTCATTTTCCGGTCCCAATTCAAGGTGCAGGTGCTTACCTACAAAGCCCTAAACGGTTTGGGACCCGCCTACCTGCGTGACTGCATCTCTGTGTACGAACCCACATGATCTCTTCATCCCCCTCCAAACACCCCACCTTGTCATGCCCAGCACTTTTAATTTTAATTGTTACATTTGGCCCGGCCATTGTTTTTACTTGCGTCATTGGGTGTTGTTAATTGTTATTGTTTGTTTTTGAGTTATTTGTTGTTGTTGTTGCTGCTGTTTTATTGTTGTATTTGGGCTCGGCCTCTTGTAAGCCACATCGAGTCCTTCGGGAGATGGTAGCGGGGTACAAATAAAGGTTTATTTATTATTATTATTATTATTATTATTATTATTATTATTATTCCGTAGAATGCCCCATGATTTCCCTCACTGTCCCCTGCTTTACAAAGGGCTATTTGATGAAGTCCCTAGTAGCAATGAGAGTCCTCATCTTTACAAAACCCAGCAGGCCAACCCAGGGTGTAGATTTTGACTAAATATGTTGCAGACAGATGAGGCTTTTTGCGCAGAAGCAGATTTTAGCCAGGTCCAATGCAATAGACACACAGGCGAGAGGAAAAAGGAACAGAAAAACTTTACTCTTATCAGCAGAGGCAATAAACTTGCAGTGTTGCATACAAAATCAAA